CCTGCCCTCATTTTGTCAGGGTCTCATCATCCTTCACAGTGAGGAAAACAGACCATTTAAAAAAATTTTTTTTCATAACTTGGTCATTCTCTTTAAGACCTCGTCTCAGCCAAGCGTGGTGGCTCATATCAGTAATTCCAGCAGTAGGAGGCTGAGGCAGGAGGACTGCTGTGAGTTAGAGGCTAAGATGGGCTGTATAGTGAGTCCAAGAACTGTCTAAACTGCACACAGGGAGGCTGTCTCAGAAACCAAAAGACTTTCATGCCCACCTTACTGCCTGCTCAAAGGCCAGTCCGCTTTCTGGCACTTACTTAGTCATGTAAGAAAAGAATGGGAACAAGACACTCGGCTGATGGCTCCCTCCTGAAAATGTTTCTTACCTAAATAGAGCTCCCAATAGCCAGGAGGAGGAGGAGGAGGAGGAGGAGGAGGAGGAGAGAAGGCGAGGAGAGAGGCAGGGACAGGGATCCACCTCCGAACAGCATGTGCAAGGTTGGAGAAGAGGTGAACCCTGAAACCACAGCCCTAAGAGGCACCACGTGGGGGTCAGAGACAGCCCCACAGAGTGGCCTGTAGCCTGGTAACCCCAGTACCCAGGTTCCCCATGCTCCCGAAAGCTGGTACTGCTTCCTTCCACACTGGGCAAGCAAACAGCGAAGGCCACTCAGATACCAGGTGTGCCTGCCACATCCTAAGTTGCTCGAATTTACATGGGGCTGACACAGTGGCCTCCTGAGGACACGTGGCCTGCAAGAGGCATCGGGGGTGCCAGCACATGGTGGCTCTGTGACCACAACGGAGCCCTGGGGGTCATAGGACCCTGGGCCTCCGCTTAAAGGCTGGCACTGCCTACAGTTCCCATCCCAAGTGGATGCCCCTCCCCAGGAGCCTGTTGGGTCCTCAGCCTCCCGAAAGCATCCCCAGTACAAGAAGCTAAGGTGACTCTTGCCGGGCGCCTGCCCCAGTGCCAGGCTGCTCAGGGCCATTAATTCCCAAGTGCTCTGCTGCCAGTCAGTGTCCCTCCAAAGGCAGCGCCGTCCACGAGGGGAAAGGCCACGTGGAGTGAGGACCTCCAGGTCCCACAGTGGGACCCAGGGTCCCGAAGGCGTCGAGAGGCTTTCCAGAGTTGGTTCTGGAGGTGACACCACACCGCATGAGGAAGCCACTGGGCTGCAGGGGGGCCCTCAGGTCTGGGATGTCTGAGGGCAGAGGATGTGGAGGAGGGTGGGATTTTCACCGCTCTGCAGCCAGGAGACAACTGTCCTCAAAATGTGCCACTGCTTCCAGGACCCCTTTCTCCCACCTACTACTGTGATCTGTTACCATAACAATCGCCTGAGTTATCTGAGCAGGCAGTGAATGTCTCCATGGGGTCCCTGGCTTCCAGTCACCTGGCAGCTGCCTGGGCTGAGTGCCCTCCTCATCTCATGCAGGGGACTGTTTTGTGAACCAGTGATTAGAAACAGGTTCCAGGATAGGATTTTTACTGTCTTCACAAAGTCAGGTTTATCAGTGTCTCATAATATTTATTTATCTGGCTTTGAATTCACTGGGATCCTCCTGCCTTGGCCACCTGAGTGCCGGGATTTTAGGCTTGCTGTCCAGCAATACCTGATAATATTTAAATATCAATTGCAATTCTCATTTACCTAGAAAGTATTTCTCCTCTATTCATCACAAATGTTAATTTTCAAGGATAAAACAATAAAATTTGCAAAATGTAAGAGACTTTCTAACAATTCCAAGCTCTGGAATGCTCTAGAGTGCTGGTGGGGAACCTATGGTATGCATATTGTTTTGTTTCATTTTTTAAAGAAAAACGAAAAAAGACCTCAATGTGTGCAGGAGTTGTTTTTTCTAAATCAAGATTCAGTGCTCGGGTTTGCTGCAGTGCTGGCCCCATGCAATAAATAAGTGGGTTTGGGCCGCAGCCTGGGCGCCTGTCTCCGAAAGATTCACCGTGGCTGCTGCAGAGGTCACCACACACATGGCTCCATGGCTGGCATTTTCTCTCCGCTGCAATCCACAAGCTCAAGGAACAGAAACAATGGCACTGGGATTCTGGGTCCAGGAGATGGACTGAGCTCAAAGGCACAGTGCCTCCTGCCTGTGGCCCTTGCTATTGCAGGAAAAGCCCATAAAAGGGAGCAACGAAAAGCAGGGGAGCAGGTAGTGGTGGCTGCTGCAGAAGAAGCTTCCACAAATTGCCAGACTGGGGGTAGACGCATGGGCATAGCTGGCTGAGGGATACAGGGGCAGTCACAAGTGAAGTGTCTTGGAACAGCAGACAGAGGGGGCCACACCCAGAGGAACCCCACGCATGAAGACAGAAGTGGGTAAAGAATGGGGTGGGGATGAAAACTGGGGATCGAGCATCTGTACATGAAGCAGACAACCAAATACACACCTGCCTCACCACTCGACACCTGGACCCAACTGCAGGGACTGTCCCTAAGACATTTCAGGCCAATCCGGAAGGTCCCATTGAAGACACTGGTGTCCCAAGGCAAAGCTCTGCTCATGAATCCAATGCCACCCACACACAGGGCTCCCTGTCACCTGCCCCCATCCTGTTCACAAGGGACTGGTACATAGACCGACTGACGCTGGAGGAAACAGAAAACCCAGGAAGCTGGAGAGAATCAAACATAGAAGGCGAGCATGATTCTTCCCTAATTTGTGCCGAAAGGGAGCTCCATAAAGGTTACACGCCCAGAAATCCAGAGCCCAGTGCTTTGAAAAGTAGTCTAAAGCTAAGAAAGAGCTTTGCTAATAAGAAACAAAAACAAACACACAAAACTGATGACTTCTAAGATTAAAAAAATTTAAATAAATGGAAAATGATCAAAGAAAACACCCAAAACCCAGAAAAAAAAAGGCAAATCCAACACAAAATTATCAAGGAACGAGCCCGTTGTGGTTTTTCTCTTTACTTCCTCATAACAGACATTAATTTCCAGAATGTTACTGCGTATGTGCTATCTTTTAAATGTTCACACACCATCACCAGTGGATTACTCTCCCTGCTGTACAGACCATGCTGCTGTACCCATGTGCACTTTCCCTGTGACCCCCTCCCAGGCTCCCTCATGCCACCTGCCCCACACAGGCCACTCCTGAGACCCAGGACACCGGCAAGCACGTCCACTCCCCACTGTGGGTAACCTGACATTCTCTCTTTGGGGAGTCCACAGAGGACCCATGGGAGAAGGCTGCCAGGACCATGCGACCCATGTGCCCAGGCCTGTCGGGGCCGAGCCCTCCCTGGGAGAGCCAGTTTCACCACCCCAAGCCGCTGCTGCACAGCGGCTGATTCTCTATTTGTTCCACATGTTCCCCACCATCCCTTCTTGCATTGTAGGCACCCTTCCTTTTGGGGTTGTTTTCTCTTTTTAATGGTATAAAAGTTCCTTTGCAAAGGGCTTTTAGGGGGAAAAACTGAGTTTCTGTTCATCTGAAAATGCCTTTTTTTTTTTTAAAGACAGTGTCTCACTATGTATTCAAGGTTGGTATTCTTCCTGCCTCAGCCTTCCAAGTGCTGGTATTACAGGTGATTATGCCCTCATTACTAAATTGTACCTTATCTGAGTTTAAAATTCAGGTTGGCCAAACTGTGAGCATTTTTAATTTGATGCTCCAACATCTTGTGTCTACTAGTGCCGGAGCGAACTCACCTTTCAGTGCGACACTACTCCTGGAAGGTAACAGGTTCTGATGGCTGCTACAATCTGCTTTTTGTCTTTGGGGTTCACTGCTCTCTCATTTGGACAAGACTACTGAGATTCTACTGAGAATTCTACTGAGATTTCTTCTCATTCCTAGGTCTAAAAGATTCTGGGTTTCCAGTATTTTTTGAAAACTTTTTTGTTGTCATCTTTCGTCTGTTTTCAGAGTTTCCCTCGGTTCATGTCTTTCCATTCAATTTTCTATGCTACATTTGGTGCAACTTCTTCATCTCTGTCTCTCAATTCGCTGTCTCTCTTCAGCTGCATCTAACCTATCATTTAATCCATCTACTAATGTGTCCATTTCACCTGTATTTTTAATGTTTTTAGTTTTTCAATTACTTATCTTTCTTCATAGATTTCAGTCCACTGTTAACTATTTCACATTTTATTGCCTTAAATGTTTACACCTATAATTTTTTTTTGTCTTTTTCGTTTTTATCGGTACCAGGGATCGAACTCACGACTGCCTGCTTGCTAGGCAGGAGCTTATGCCGCTGAGCTAAATCCCCAGCCCCTAAACCTATAATTTTATATTATAAATCTGATCATTTCATTGTCTAAAACAACACCTTCTGCTTCTCATTCTTCCATATAAATGTTTGTTCCTTGTGTGTTAACATTTTCGTTTGTGTGCTTGCAACTAGAAAAGCTTCGTGGTGGGGACCCCATGCTAAGGCTGGGTAAGGTCCAGTCCAAGAGGACACACAGTAACTTCACCCCTGTAACCAGGAGCTCTAGCAAGCTAGGACCTCTGTAAGATAAGTTTCTCTTCTTGCAATTTCCAAATCTGCAGAAGGTGAGTGAATTCAAAAAGGGTTCAAAAGAAGGCAGGCTGAGAATAAAAATTATCCAGGGAGATTTTCACTTCCTCCCATTCGAAGTACAGGCTGGGTCAGACCACAGCCTCCCCTAATACTCTGCCAATGTGCTTATTTTTCTAGCCTTCCATTTTGTTTGAGGTGCAGTCCTTCAATTATCCCAGCTTATATAAGCTGTTACCATGCATCCAGGGTCTGTCTTCTGTTCCCCCCCACGCTTCTAAAACCCACGTCTCACAGACACCTACTGAGGGACTGAAGTCTTCCACTGCTAAGCATACCCACGGGGAACGAGAGATTGTGTGTCCTCACAAAGATGTGCTGGGAGGGCTGGCAGCTTTGTCTGTAATAACCCACGGGGGAGATGATCACCTAAATGCTCACCAATACACAAATTATTACAAAGGTGCTGATATGCGGGCCAGAAACTTTGAAATCATCACACCAAACAGAGTACACACTGCGTTGGATTTTATTTTCTACACACATGAAAACTAACTTTTGGCGACAGAAAACATCAAAGGTGGCGAGCAGCTGACTGCAACTGGAGAAAAATGGGCCAGGGAAGAACTGTAAAGGGGTACAGGGAAGTTTTTAAAGATGTGCTCCCAGGAAGCTAATCAGTTTCTGATGGCTGCTACATCTGCTTTGTCTTTGGTGTTCACTGCTGTTTAGTTTGGATAACACCTTTTAAAGTTCTCCTGGAGATTTCTTTTCATTCCTGGGTCTGAAAGATTTTTGTTTTCTAATACTTTTGCGTGCATACATCAAAATTTATCTAATCGCATACTTAGGTATGTACAGTTTAGACTGAATCAGGGGTACACTCCCATCATCCCAGCTACCTGTGAGGCTGAGGCCACAGGACTTAGGCTGAGGCCAGTCTGGACAACTTAGTGAGGCCCTGTTTCAAAATGAATTTTTGAAAAAGGGATCGGGCTTCGAGCTAGGCGTAGAGGCACACTCCTGTGATCCCAGCACTCAGGAGGCTGAGGCCTCCTGAGTTTGAGACCTGTGAGTTTGAGACCAGCCTGGGCTACATAGTGAGCTCAAGGCCAGCCTGAACCACATAGTGAGACTTTGTCTCAAAAAGGCCAACCCCCCAAAAAACCAACAATGAAAAAAGAGAAATGGGAAAAAGGGATGGGGGCACTCAGGGCTGTAGCTCGGCGACAGAGCACTTGCTTAGCATATCCAAGGCAGTGGGGTCTGTCCCTATAGGAAGAAAAGAGGACATGTGTCAATTACATTTCAATACAACTATTATTACGCGGAGCCTCTTGGTTATTGAGATAAAAAAAAATGCAGCAAGGCAGCTGTAGTGTCTCCCGGTCTCTCCCCTTTCTGACAGGTCCTTTGCTTCTGTTTGTATGCACAGTGCTTGCTTTGGCAGCACATACGCCAAACTCCTGTGTGCATGCATACAAGCATGTATGTATATGGCATGGTTTATGTCATGGTTTATGTGTTTGCATTATGCATCTGTGACTGGTTCATGTCTAGAGCCTGGATTGATGGTGTCAGTGCTACACCCACCTAGGGGTACAGCAGCATACAATGTAATGACAGGAAAAAGGCGTGTCTCTCTCTCACTCTCCTGCCAGTTTCTGCTTGCTGTTTGCAGCCACCATGAAGTGTGGCCCCGCTCTGCCACCCTGCCTTGGAGCCAACTGAGTATGGACTGAAACCTCCAAAAACTGTAAGAAATAAACTTTTCCTTTCCCAACTTTGGGCATCAGGTATTTTGTCTCAGGGATGCATAATAAGTACCTAAGACAGTAAGCATATATGTATTTTTTAATGTGGTGCTGGGGATGAAACCCCGGGCCCTGTGCAGCTAGTAGGCAAGTGCTCTGCCCTGAGCTACAATGACAGCCTTGATCTTTGTTTTTTAGGCACTGGGAACTTCTCTTGCAAGTTCGGCTATTCATTAAAAGGATACTTGTTGCCAGGTAAATGTCTGTCATCCCACTACTCAGAGGCTAGGACAGGAGGTTTCAAACTTGGCAGACTAGCCTGGGCAACAGAGCAAGAACTTGTCACAAAGTAGCAATTTAAAAGGGCTGCGTATGTATGTGGGTGACAGAGGGCTTGTTCAGCATGTGCAAGGCTCTAGGATCAATGCCCAACACCTGTCATATTTTAGGACTCGTAACTAAGCGTTTTTATCAAGCAGGCTTTCAAGATAGTTGACCTGCCTTACCGCAGCGAAAGCTCCCTTATATTCGTCCACAGACAATGCTGAGCTCCCCGAAGCCCACCCACCAGGCCTCCCTTCCCACTGCAGTCTCTCAGGGTGCAGCCCACCCACCCTATGCCCCAGCTCAGCACACCCCCCTGCCAGACTCAGCGCCCTTGCTGTGCCTGCCTGTTCATGGCTGGGTCTGCAGCGCAGCAAATGCCACTCCCGTTCTCCAGACCTCTTCGGGCATCCAGAGATGCCCGCATCCAGTCCCCCAGCCAGCCAGCTGAGAGGGGGTGACAAGCAGCCCTTCCTCAACCACTGTCGTTCATTCACTTTTGAGTGAATGAACAGTGCCACTCAGGCTAGTGCTGGACTTGTGGGCGGGTTCCCAAGTAGCTGAGGCTGCAGACATGCCAGCGTCCCCACCATAGCTCCTCCTCCCTTTATCACTAATGCAACCTCAACTGTGCTGAGCCTTTGAGTCCAACACATGGTACTTCATCTCCTCGTCCCCCTCCTGAAAATCAGGGCCATCCCTGACTTGCCCACAGCACCAGCAGAATGCCTTCCCTGTGAGGGTGAGGGAATCGGTGAGCTCGTGCAGGAACAGAGATCCTTTGGGAAACAGGAGCAGCCCAGAGGTGTGCACACCTGAGACCCGTTCAGCCACAGCGCCGACAGTGTCCACGTCAAGCCTGAAAGGCAGGGGGCTCTGGTTCAACAGATCCTCACTCACACTCCTCTCCTGCAACAGCTTTTGTGGGGGTGGGGGGGAGGTGGATGGTGGGAGCCCTGGAGACTGAATCCAGGGCCTTCACGCTGAGTGATACCCTCAGCTCCCTTTCTTTCTGTTCTTTCAAATTTTCAGACAGGGTCTTTTTTACTAAGTTGCTAGGCTGCCCCGGCTAGGCTTGAACTTACCACCCTCCTGTCTCAGCCTCCCAGAAGAGCAGCATTCTCTTCCAATGCCCACTTTTGGTGGTGAAATATCTATGCACATGTGTTTGTTTTTCTGTTAAGCACACAAATTTCTGAGCAAAGATACTTGGAACAGCTAAAAAGCAGAACATCAGTTAATGCACAGCACTACGTCACAGTGCCTAAGAAAGAACAAATGTTACTATATTCTGACATCTGCATAACTTACTAAGCCAATAAAATGACAAAACCTTATTTCCCTATTTAAAAAACCTTACAGCATGAATGAATAGAACATAACCTGGCACTCCAGCCGCCCCTAATCAACTCCATGCCTTATACGCAACGCTGACCTAGAAATAATTTCACTTGGTTTTTTTAGAGGAGCGCCACCATGTGGCCAGTGTTTTTAGTACATTTTTAATATAAAAGGAATACGTTACACTTGAAAATGGGAATGCACTACCCGGCCCACACACTGTAACGTGAACAGACCTAACTATATTTCACAGAGAGCTTTACAGCAGATTACTTCTGTAGTAAGCAACCATCAGAGTTTGGATCTCACACAGTCAGTGTCGGCCCCCTTCGGGAGGATTCAGAGGACTCTTCTCTCTGTTGTTAGTAAGTCACAGAGTCAAGGCTCACACTGGGACAAGGTGGGGTGCAAGTGGCACCCCTGCTCTCCTGCTCCTTGGCCCTGCCCTGCAGCTCCTCTCTCCTACATGAACCACAGATTAGCTGCGCTTTTCAATTTATATTTATATACTACAGATATATACACACAACATATACTGTAAAGCAGTACTGAGGGAACGCTCAGCTCGGGGAAGACTCCAGGTTCATAGTTAAACCCCCAAATAACTGCTGTTTCATACAGTTCCTTCTATGCGAGGGCTCTGAAATAACAGACTGTATTAGTCTTAAGAGTCTTCTGGGGGGAAAAGCTGCAGTGGGGCACTGCTCCTCTAGAGGCAGGAAGCTTCATGGGTCACTCATGACAACGCAGGGACGCCCAAAGCCACAGGAGAGTGGTACAATCCTATCCCCCCCAGGATGAGACCCTGCAATTCGAGAGGCAGCGAGCTCCCAAGGCGCCGCTATGGGGAGTGTGGGGTGATGATGCTGTCCTATGCTCAGAGTGGGGTCCCAATCTCACCACTAACAATGTCCCCAGAAATACGTACACTGAAGAGGCCGAATTTTACTGTCCGGTGAATTACACCTCCATAAACCTGACTACAAAAGTCAATTACAGTACAACAGAAGACCAGGGCTGCAGCAGACTCTCCCAGTGAAAGCTTGGTTTTTTTTTTTTTTTTTTTTTTTTTTTGTCGGTACCGGGGATCGAACTCACGACTGCCTGCTTGCAAGGCAGGCGCTTATGCCGCTGAGCTAAATCCCCAGCTTGGTTTTGCTTTCGGAAGTGAAGAAGTTACAATCCATAAAAGTTAAACAACAACCTGCCAGGCAGCTTTTCTCTGTCCCTGACCTGCTCTAGGTGGACCTTGCCCCTGCTAGCTTTCTAACCAGCTTCCAGGAGGGACGTGACCCACTGCTCTGTGTGCTGAGGGCTGCTGACTGCCTCCTTCTGCACTGCTCCCGATGTGTGTGAAACAGTGCAAGGTGGCCCTGGCCCCCAGGTGGTGGCCCATTCCATGCGCAGTGGCCCTGGCCTGACTCCGGCCATGCTGGGGCACTGAGGAGCCTGGCAGGGCCTGGAGCTGGCTTTCCACTCTCCACTGCACATTTCACTCACCACTGTCTCTGCCAGTGTGACTGAGGGTCACATGGTCCGGGCCGCTCCCCATTAGCCAAAGTGTATGTTTCCCCAGGCTGACAGTGCGCTTTCCCAGGGTGCTGATTCATGGCCGAGAGGGCCCTGCAGTGGCTCAAGCACCAACGAGGCCCACTGCCGAGCCACAGCGGTCACTCACTTTCCAGTTTGCCCCTGGCTGCTCCTGCAAGGGCCCCATGGCCCAGCGTGCGCTGGGGCTGATGCCAGGCTTGGGGGGCACCAGGGCAGGGTTTTTTTTTTTTTACACTCTCTCCCTTGGAGAACTGACTTTCACACTAAGCTACATCTACCTCTGCTGTACCTTTTGTTTATTCTGTGACAGGGTCTTGCAAGTCATCTGGGCAGAGCTCAAACTTGCAGTTCTTCTGTCTCAGCCTCCCAGAGTACTAGGACTACAGATGTGGGCTACCATGCCCAGTCAAAGTGCAGTTTGGGTTGTAGGGGGTGAAATTTCCTAGTTAAAAAGACTATTGCAAGTTTTTTGTTTTAAAGCACTAAAGACTGAGCCAGGGACACTCTAGTACTATGCTCAAATCTTGCCTTTTGAGACAGGGTCTGGCTAAAGCACCCAAGGCCACTGACCACTGATCCTCCTCTCTCAGCCTTCCCAAATGCTGAGACCCTGGGCATGCACCACCACGCCCAGCTTCCCTCCCCACATCCTAAGAGACAGGATCTTGCTATGTCCTACCAGAAACAAACTCATGGTCCCCCAGAAGAAAAAAAGATTGGTTAAGCCTGAAGATTTAAAAAACTTTAAATGCTAGGAGGCTGAGGCAGGAGGACCCCAAGAGTCCATCAAGTATTTTTGTTGTTCTTGCTTGTGGTTCCTGGGGATTGGACCCAGTGCCTTCTCACTAAGCCACATCCCCAGGCCTTTTTGAATCTTGATTTTGAGACAAGGTCTTACTAGTCGCTAAACTGCCCAGGCTTGAGGCCCTCTTGCCTCAGTTTCCCAGAGCGCTAGGGTTATAGATGTGTGCCATTACATTTGGCTTCAATTTTTATTTCTATGCAATCTACACGTCAATTAAACCAAATCACTTGTTCGAGGAGCGCGTTCCCCTTATTCTGAACGCTGGCAACCCTCCTGGACACGTCTGGGGTATATTTTAATGCCTTCCATGCGGAACTCTCACTGCTCCAATACAGGTATACGTGCGGGTGTGTGTGCACGGGTTTTAGAGAGCCAAGCTGTGGCTGGTCGGAGGACCCAGATGCGCTTCTTCCTCACCCTGCCTGCAGCTCCCCTGGAACTCAACCCTGGCGCGGAACACGAAGTCAGATTCCCCGGGGCACTCTGAGGCCACTGTG